CTAGACTATTATCAAGGTTTTTAATCCAATTTTTCCTTGAAATAATTATATGTTATAAATAACCAAACGAATAAAATATTATAATATATTTCAGTTGAAAAGCATATGCTATAACTCTGTAAAAATAAAATTTGTAACATTAGCTTTAATGAAATTTATAAATTTTTAGGAAATAAAGCACACAGAATAATAATAGAAATAAAATTAGACTACGTTTCCCCTGGCAGCCACATACTGGCCAACAGACCCCCGGAAAGAACCAGACCTAATAGACTTTGCGGTGACCAAAAATATTCCACGCAATTTAATAAGCGCCAGAACACTTTCGGACCTGTCATCAGACCATTCTCCAGTGCAAATAACTCTCCTTCAAAGCACAAAAATTACAGATTACAAATTACCCACAGGTTGACGTCGCACAGAACCAACTGGTTAAAATACAAAAAGTATATAAGCTCACACATCAAATTAAACCCTCAATTTAACCTCGCAGCTGACATCGACTGCTCTACCGATGCTCTTGAAGAAGTATTCGTGAAGGCAGCCACTATCGCAACACCACAAGGCAGGGAGATGGAAACTAACCACCTTAAAACTAATCTGCAAATTGAACGGCTAGTCCTAAAAAAGAGGAGCCTGCGACGGGCCTGGCAAACAAACAGATCGCCGTCATCAAAACAACGTCTTATTAAAGCCACCCGCTTGCTAAATCGAGCTCTAAAGCAAGAAGCAGAAAAGGCACAACTGCGGTATATTAAAAAACTTTCGCCAACCAGTACAAAACATCTTCTGTGGAGGGCTCATCCAAATCTGAGCTCCCCTATCGAAACAGTCACGCCGATAATAAATTCATCTGGCAGCTGGGAACGCAGCGACGCGGATAGAGCCGAAACTTTTGCTTTACATCTCAGAAACGTCTTCCAGCCGAACCCTGCCACTGGTTCATTTGTAATACCACAAATCGAATCTGAATCTATTTCCTTGCCACCATTGTTTCAGCCGAAGGAGATCGCGAAAGTCATTGGGGAACTGAAACAGAAAAAGAACCCTGGCGGTGACCAAATAACCCCAAAAATGATAACCGAACTTCCAAACATTGCCGTTGAGGTTATTTGTAAGCTCTTCAATGGGATCATGACACTCGGCTACTATCCAAAAAAATGGAAAATATCTATTGTCATTATGATACCGAAGCACGGAAAAGACCGTACAATTTCGTCATCCTACAGACCAATCAGTCTATTATCGTGTTTGTCTAAGTTGTTCGAAAAATGTCTTCTAACCCGCATAATACTATATCTAGAAGCACACAATGTTATCCCTGCTCATCAATTTGGCTTCCGTCAAAACCATGGAACAATTGAACAAGTAAACAGAATAACATCAGAAATTCGCACAGCCTTTGAGCATCGGGAATACTGCAGTGCAATATTCCTCGACGTATGTCAAGCCTTTGATCGAGTATGGCTAGATGGTCTCATGCCCAAAAAAAAAAAGTACAAAAAAACATACTTGCCTGGATACACTCATAAGCTTCTTGAGTCGTATTTATACAACAGAACCTTCGCAGTAAGGTGCAACACAGCAACATTCGGCGACTACATTATCAAAGCTGGAGTCTCGCAAGGAATCGCGATAGGGCCTACTCTGTTCCTCCTATACACATCGGATATTCCCACAAATGAGCAGCTAACAACATCTACGTTCGCTGACGACACCGCAATTCTAAGTCGCTCAGCATGCCCAGGCAGAGCCACCTCACAGCTAGCAAATCACCTCCTCGTAGTAGAGAGGTGGCTATCTGATTGGCGGATTAAAATAAATGAACAAAAATGTAAACACACAACGTTTACCCTCAACAGGCAAACTTGCCCTCCACTATTATTAAATAACACGCAGATTCCCCAAGTTAACGATGTAACGTACCTCGGCGTCCACCTTGACAGACGACTAACCTGGAGAAGACACATCCAATGCAAAAAAAGAACACCTAAAACTGAAAGCCAACAGCCTCCACTGGATTGGTAACGCCCGTTCACCCCTGCGTCTGGAATACAAGGGGTTGCTTTACAACTCTACCCTCAAGCCCATCTGGACATATGGCTCCCAGCTATGGGGGAACGCCAGCCGAACGACATTATACAGCGCGTCCAGTCAAAAACCCTCCGATTTATCACTGGGGCACCATGGTATATCTATCTATATCAATCTAAACATCAACAGCGACCTAGGCATTCTTACCGTAAAAGATGAAATAGACAAACAAAAAGCGTCCTACAATGAAAAACTCTCTATGCACCCCAATCGCCTCGCAAGAAGCCTGGTTCCCAGCCGATCCCGTCTACAAAGCAACGACCTGCACAGCCAGCACTAACTTTCGGGCCCACTATAGCACAATATCAGACATATGACAGTTAGTTAGAGTAATTAGGTTTAAGATTTGATAAACTTATTGTTAGTCTCCAAAGGGAGAAGATTCAATAAAATAAATAGCAAAGTAAAAAAAAAAACTTGGGGTCCGTCAATTCCGAATCAGGCCAGATCTTCAGAGCACAATCCAAGGGTGTTTGATCGCTCTAGCTCATTCTGACATTTCCACTGAGAACTGGGACTGTCTCCTGGTATTCCTGTGCGCCAGTAGATTACCGAAACTGACCCTCTCCTTATGGGAGCAGTCTCTTTCATCCAAGTCTGACATTCCGACGTGGGATGAGATGAACACATTTCTTGGTGACCGATACCGAACGCTAGATGCGAATGAGGATATGAAACCAAGCCTCAGCAATCACTCTAGCACTAAGAGTCAACCCGTCTCCCGGAAGCTCAACTCTTTCGAAGCTAAGGTGGTCACAAAACCAAAGAATTGCGATCCGTACGCTTATGCCAGCGTTTTCTCCAGATGTCTGTCGATGCGCGAACCAACTACATCACACAGAAACAGCTTTGCTTAAATTGTTTCGCAAGAGGCCAACAGCTACGTGAATGTACTAGCACTCACAGCTGTTTCACATGTCGAGGGCGGCATCACACGTTGCTGCATAAAGGCAACCCCAATTCCCGTGGGCCAACTGACGGGAATAGTTCTTCTGTAAGTCCACCAAATCCAGCTGTACCGGGGGCCGCCAACGGTTCAAGAAATCTGCCCAGTGTGCAGAATTATTTCGCAACTGATCCTAGAGCTGTTTTGCTAGGCACGGCCATTATTAACATATGCCACTAGGCTCGAATTACAGGGCTCGAGCTCTAATAGACTCGGGTTCTGAGGCGACGTTTATTACGGAACGCCTGTTCGATCTCATTAAGCTGCCATTCCGCCACATCCAGGCCCAAGTTTCGGGCTTAAATCAGACCGTTTCTGCCCAGTCAACACGGCTTTGCAATTTCGCCATTCGTTTTCCTACTAAGCCGGGTCTGCAGTTAGACACCGCAGCGTATGTTCTGCCAAATTAGCAGGCATTCCATTCCACAAAGATGTCCTGAGAGATTTGCCAAACCTTCAATGGGCAGATCCCACATTTCTGCAGAGTTCCCAGATAGAAGTCCTTATCGGAGCTGATATTTTTCCATCCGTGCTGCTGAGCGGCACAAAGACCAACATCTGCGCATCTCTTTTTGAGCAAGAGACTATCTTCGGGTGGGTGCTCACTGGTCCAGTGTCCAGGTCCACAAGCAACCGAGTTTCAGCCTTTACGACTCAAGTTACAAAGACAAGGTCTATAGCACTTGCTCAGTTTCTCAGAAACGAAAATCGTTTACGAAGAGACACTTCATTAAATGAGCAGTACAACTCCGTAATCCAAGAATATTTGGATTTAGGACATATAAAATAGGTTTCGCCCACTCACAATTCTCCGAACTACTACCTCCCACATCATGCGGTGATAAAACCCGAAAGCACCACCACAGAACTGCGGGTCGTATTCAACGCTTCCAGCCCTTCAGCAAATGGGACTAGCTTGAACGATGTGCTTCATGCCGGTCCAGTCCTTCAATCTGACTTAACGATTCAGATTTTAAAGTGGCCCTATTTCAAGTATGTCTTTAGTGCGGACATCACGAAAATGTATAGGCAGATCTGGGTCGATCCAAAGCATACGCCGTTTCAAAGGATGCTTTCTATTCAGAAACAAGGAAGGTGACATTCGAGATAACGAGCTGAAAACCGTAACGGTCGGTGTCAATTGCGCGACCTATCTCGCTATCCGAGTGCTGCAACAGCTGGCTGATGACGTCGATCAGCAGTTTCCAAAAGCCAGCCACATAGTCCGTAATTTTATGTATGTGGATGACGTTTTAGCATCCTTGCCATCCATGAGTTAGTAACCGCTTTGAATTCTGCCGGCTTTCCGCTTAGGATGTGGACCTCCAACCACAAGGGGGTTTTAAAGGACAATCCAAACGATCTTCTTCTCAATGTTGAGTTCCTGAATATTGATGCCGAAATCACCGCCAAAACTCTTGGTATTCGCTGGAGAGCAACCACCGACGAGTTCTACTTCGTGCCCCCAGAGATATCCGTCAAGTCCTCCTATACGAAAAGAGAAGTCCTCTCCCAGATCGCAAAGCTATTCGATCCCGCTGGCTGGCTTGCCCCGTTTAACGTATGCAGGAGATCTGGCTGCAAGAGATGACAATCTTCCCGACGAAATGAGCCATAGATGGCAAGTGTTCCTGCAAAGTTATTCCGATCTCGATCAAATCCGTATTCCGAGATGGATCAGCTACAAGCCCCATGTAAAAATCGAGCTTCACGGTTTCTGTGACGCTTCCCAAAAGGCCTATGGGGCGGCGCTGTATGTCAGGGTTGAAGTCGGTCAGCAGATATTGACTAATTTGCTTACGGCAAAGACCCGGGTTGCCCCGGTGAAAACGGTATCCCTCCCCCGACTCGAGCTATGTGGTGCCCTATTGCTGGCAGATATGGTATCCACCATCCTTCCAAATATGCTGTCAGACAGCTCTGAGATTTTCTGCTGGACAGACTCCACCATTGTCTTGGCATGGTTAAAAAACCGGCCTGCTCCTGGACCGCATTCGTAGCCAACCGCGTAACCAAAATCGCTCAAGCTACAAAGATTGAGAATTGGTCCCATGTGCGGCCAGAACACAACTCAGCCGACCTAGCTAGTCGCGGCGTGTCCCTGCAAGAGTTGGGCGATAGCACCCTATGGTGGCATGGCCCCCAATGGCTACAACTGCCGAAACTTCAATGGCCAGAAACTTCGGATCCACACCCAGTCACGGACTTAGAGCAGCGCGCGGTGAAGGTTCATTTCGTACAGCTCCCCGGTGATGATTTCCTTGAACGTTTCTCCAGACTGGACAAGGCCTTACGAGTCGTAGCTTACGTCCAAAGGTTCCTAAATCGCTGTCGTAAGGCTCCGGTAAGTCCGGATAAGCAGCTCAGTAATCGGGAAATCCGGGGGCTGAGAGGACCTACATAATACTTTCCCATCGCGAAGAGTACGCGCTCGAGCTTCGATTGTTGCGAAGTGAAAGTTCCATATCCTCGTCAAGCCAAATTGCTAATTTATTTTCATTTATAGACCAACAAGGACTCTTAAGAGCATGTGGTCGCTTAGCTACCTCCAAGGTCCTGCACTATGACGAGCGCCATCGTGTAATACTCCCGTACAGCTGTCGGCTATCTCGCCTTCTTGTCCAATTCACGCACCAGACTACGCTCCATGGCGGCAACCAACTGACAGTGCCCTTGATACGATCCAAATATTGGATTCCTAAAGTCAAAAATCTGGTAAAGGGCGTGATAAATTCATGCAACGTGTGCCCCATTTATAAAAAACGACTGCAAACCCAATTGATGGGCGGTTTTCCGACTGATCGAGCCTCCTTTTCCAGGCCATTTACTTACACCGGCGTCGATTACGCCGGCCCTTTTGAAGTGAAAAACTACACAGTCTCATCACTAAGTGATATGTTTGTGTGTTTGTGTTCTTTTCTACGAAGGCCATCCATTTGGAAGCCACCTCCGATCTTACAACTGAAAAGTATCTAGCAACGTTTGCTCGTTTTGTTGCTAGAAGAGGTTGTCCTCAGCGGGTCCATCCCGACAACGGCAAAACCTTTGTTGGTGCCTCAAGTCTTCTTTCCTGTGACTTTACGCAAGCACTAATGGAGTCGGTGACTGCAGCGTATAGCTACCAGGGACTCGTGTGGCGTTTCATACCCCCAGGAGCTCCTCATATAGGAGGCCTGTGGGAGGCAGGAGTAAGGAGTTTTAAAACTCTGTTTTACAAATCCACGTCCGCTCGCAAGTATACCTTCAAAAAGCTTTCCGCGCTTTTTGCTAAGATTGAAGCCTGCCTTAATTCCAAACCACTTTTTCCAATAACTGAAGACCCGACAGAATTGTTGGCACTGACGCCAGGCCATTTTCTGATCGGGGGTCCGTTGCTTTCCACGGCGGAGCCTGAAATCAAATGCGACGCCATGTCGATTATAAACCGATGGCAACATCTCAAGGCCCAGCATCAACAATTTAGTTCGCGATGGAAAGAAGACTATCTAAAGGAACTCCACAAGCGCAACAAGTGGCTAAGTCCATCCAGAAACCTAGAAGTGGACGATATGGTCGTTATCAGGGACGATAACTTGCCATCAAACGACTGGCGGCTCGGCAGAATAGTAGCTGCTATACCAGGAGCTGATGCTAGAGTCCGCGTCGTGGACATCCTTACGTCTCGCGGAACAATTCAACGTCCGATCCACAAACTGGTTCTCCTTCCTATGGAAGCTAAGGCAACCGCTAAAACTCCGCAATAACGCCTTCCTTCCTGATGCTTTAAAATCCGTTTATAATGCAGACTAAGTTCGCTTATAATTTTCCTTTTCTTTCTGTATTACTAAAGCATCAAAACCATGGCTCCACGTCCTCACAGCGCCCAAACTTTGGACGACAGACGTTCCCGAGGTACTCAGTCCTACGCTGCCGGAGTCTGTCGGGGCATCCGTCCCCCAGCCTACGCATCCGGACCCCGATCCGCGCACTCAGTGACGACATGCGCGCCCAATTCAAATACATCCGTCTTGCCGACGAGCGGTTCCATCGCCCGACAACAGTCTCACTGGTGTTAGGCTCGAATGTATACCCCGAGGTAATCCGGCCCGGGTTCCTACATATACGTGACGGGCTGCCCGTCGCTCAGAGCACGGGTGGGTTGTATCTGGAGCATACAGACACGCCTAAACCAGCGTCATTAATCCTTTGCCACGCTCGCCCTCGCAAGGGGGAGAATGTTCACGCCAAAGCGGCCCAATTCCAGTCCAGTCCAGTCCCCCAGCCCTGGGGGCCTTAACAGCCGTGAGAGCAGTTCTTCCAGATCGCTCTCATCTCGCTCTCTCGCACTGTTAAGGGTTCTTCCTGGTTCTCTGTTATTGGCCTGAAATATTTGATATACAATTTTTTTTAGCTTTTATTTTGAGGTATCAATAGTCATTTAAAAATCATCTTCTGATGATAAAAAAAAGGAGTACGTTTCCATATATAACTTAACACCGGCCAAGCGCCCCCTTCCCTTCACCTCCTCTCGACCCGGATACCAGACACCGCGACTTCCCTCATCACCCCACTCAGCCAGCACGACTAGCAGAGACACAGCAGCGGTAGTGCAGACACCAAACGTCAGCAGCGTCAGAGCGATAGAACGTCAACGGCAGAATTGCACCGGCAGAATTGCAACGGCAGAATTGCAACGGCAGTAGCGTGAGAATGGAAGAGCAGTGACCGCCCGCTAGCTGCCTCAGCAATAGCTACCGCTACCCCTTCCCATCGCCGCGTCCAACCGAAAATCCAGAGGTAGCACCTGGAGGTTACCAACTCGTTGGCCCAAATATCCAGGAACCGCTGCTATCAGCAGCGCGACAATGGAAGAGCACTGACCAATCGCTAGCTGTCTCAGCCATAGCTACCCCTACCCTTGCTACCCCTACCCCTACCCCCACGGACGGAAATGCAACACCAGCACCTGGAGCATAGCAACACTTTGGCCCAAAATCCCCAAAACCGCTGCTGTCAGCATCGGACTGCTGCAACCGCTCTGCCAGCGTTATGCAGTCAACAAGCCAGGCAAATTATGATTTAGATTTACTTCGATTTGTAAAGCCAGCAGACCATTATTATTTGCAACAATAAAACCATTGTAACGTATAAAAGCGATTACTGTTTTATTTTAACGTAGCTTCGTGGAAAATAAAGACTGAGCTGTGAAAGAGAAGGACGAAGAGACCTGAAATTGGAAAGGAGAGGATGCAGATAACATTAACTAGGTAATATCCGGGGGAATACTCCCCCCTCTGACCATGTCTGGCCATAACTTATATAATTTTCGTAGATGGACTTTTAACTAACAGAAAATTGTAATCAAGTTTATACGTGAGCCACTAATTCTAAAGCTGCTACTCCTATATATTGGCTTATCATACATTATTTGTGATGGTGTTGATTCTATTGCCGCTAAATCGGTTCCAAATAACTCAACGCTATGGAAATCATTTCTAGCTATATGTTGCCTAAAGCCTGGAGAATTTTGTCTATTAAATTGCCGCTAAATCGGTACCAAACAAGTCAAATAATGCTTGAACGTCCGCAAACCGCGGAAAACTGTGCCGTCTATGATATTATTATGAATTTCCTTCGTTTGATCTTGTATAACTTATTTCTGTTAATATCTAACGATTTACCAAAGGTATTTTAAATCGGAACATTATTTCGCTATTTATGAAGAAATTTAGGTTATAAGGCCTCATATGGTTTGTGACGTCACCTTGCATAGCCTTCTTGAAGTACGGACATTTCCCACTCATTGTTGGGTGGTCGCAGTCCTTCTCCGTTTTGCGCTTGCAGAGCATGCAGCAGGCCTTTGCTTTGCAGCATCTGGCTTGGTGTTCCTTTGCGCCGCAATTGTAGCAGCATTTTGAGCAGTCCTCCTGGTTCCTGCAGTTTCCTGCCATGTGGTTAAACTGTATACACTTAAAACACCTTTTGGGTGTTATATTTGGGCGGACTCTGCACCAAGTCCATCCTAGCCTGATTTTGCCCTTCTCCAGGAGCCGTCTTTCTATGTCCGGCATTACTCTTAGTGTGGCGGTTTGGGTGCCTCCGTACGCCGCCCTTAATCCAACCACCGCGGATTCAGGCAGTTTCACATCAAACTGGGATTTAACCGCACATAAAACGTCCGTTTTGTCGGTGATCTCGTCGATGTCTTTCACCTCGATCAGCAGTGTCTCAGTCAGCGCTCTGACGTCGACATTGCTACCCAGGACCGCTTTCATTGTGGTGTGGAGCTCGGCGGTTTTAGGGTCTGAGACCTTGCTTAGGAGGATTAGTAGTTCCCCTCTATCTGTGCGCCTGACAGCCTGCACTGCTTGTCCTAGCTCCTTCAGTTGAGGCTCTGTCTTAACTGTTTTCAGGATATCTGCATAGGACCCACCCGTGGAAGTTGCGATGACTATTGCATCGTTCCGTGGCGGTCGCACCTTGGGCTTCCGTGCCTTCTGTTTCACCTGTTTCCACTCTCCTGGTTTCATCACAGGTTTTTGGGGATTGCTGGTGCTCTCTGCTATAGCATGTTTCCCCTTATTTCCTCCTTACTTACTATGCTGCTTGCTCCTGCCCTCACCCTATGTTCTGGCGATCTCGCCATTACAGTGCTTTTTTTGAATGTAGACTAGACTAGACGCCTGCAGGCCTTTGCTTGCAGGCGTGCCTTCGTTATTGGTTGGCACAGCTCCTAGGCTAGCGCCCCTCCCCTGCCGACCATTCCTCCGCCTGGGGAAATCAGTACGTGGGTGTACAAAGGCTTGGGCCTTTGGCCGCAGTATACTGCTTGTCTTCAATTGGACGTTACTATTTTGAGGAAAAAAAGCAGTCGTCCAGGATTTTCCTACCCGCCCAAAATTTTCCTGCGTGCTACAGCACGCACTTATCCGCTTGGCTGCACCCTATCCAAAGCTTACTGCTATAGCACCCGCAGCCTTTTTCGCACACTACAATCAGCTGGTCGCGCAAGCGCTTTCCACCACTGATTTAATGTTTACTAAAAAAGAAAAGCGCGGGTGAAAATTATGGCAGCAACTATGCCAAACAACGAGTGGAAAATAAGAAGGGGCAGGGATGCCTCCCCTCCCTCGCCTACGACCGGCCACTGCCTGGTCGACAAACCAGTTGGGGATTGATTCCCGGGCTGTTTCCAGGTGTCGTCCACGGTCTTCTGACCGCCAGCTGGTGTCCAGGTGCGTGTCCAGATACTCCATGCCGGATGGCCGGCTGCACTTTTCCTTTACGGTGAGAACTTGAATAATTATGCGGAGCGATTTGAAACGCGACCGCACTCAGAACTCTCTCTCAACTCCTCCTGGAGTTCAGTGAAAGTTAATATCGGTGTGTGGGAAAGACTGATCAGGAAAATGACAAGTGCAATAATTATTTCATTTAATGGTTTCTACGGACAGCGGGATAGTTTGTGTACAATCTCCGTGCAACAGAGATTTTCCCTTTCTATTTTCACTTGATAAGAACGATGCCCGATGGTTCCGCGAATGTAAATACAGGTGTGTGGGCAATAATGGTCGGAACACCGTCGATTGCAATAAATATTTTATTTTATGACTTTTAAGGAATCAGAATCGGTCATGCACAAGTTTTATGAAATAACCATTTTCCCTTTATAAACTTACTTGTAACCACCAATTTAAAATTTCAGAAGCCTTAAGCTGAGAGTAGCTAGAATATAGGCCATAGGCTGATTCTAATACAACAGTTTTAGATTTAGCTGAATTGGTTTTAAAATTTAAAATACTTATATGCACGGATACTTGGTATGTATTTGTGCTCATGAGTCAGGTATTCTATAAGATCCTGCCTCCATTGGTTTTCTGAAAGACCTGACCCTTTGCTATCCCTTGGGCGAGTCCACCATTTGGAACTCACCCCTACCCTCAAGTGTGCGTTCATGACTGCTTGTGCGCGGAGGTGCGATCTCACACCCACTCTCAAGTGTATGCTCGGATCTGCTTGTGCGCGGAGTTGTGTAAAATTTATTTTTAAGAGTTTTAATGAAACATTATTAAACACTTTATATTTCGTTTTAGTTATATAGTTTTCACCTAATAAAACACTTCAAATACTGGGGAAATAGAATGAACACAACAAGTTCATTAAAACTAAGAAGGATTAGTTTTACCAGAGCCAAGATGAGCAGAAAGGCAAGAAAATAAAACAAAATAAATAATCAAGTTGTTGATGAAATTCACAAACCAGCACGTACAAATTTTTTCGTCGTTAAGTTGTTCAGAAGGGGATAACGATACATGGCAAATTGTTTTACTTAAAATGATACCATTTAGGAAAGAAAATAGGGGAAGGGAGGAAAATAGTGTAGATATTTATTGACTGTTATTGACTCTTTCTCAAAGTATACTTACGCTGAAGTTGTGAAGACAAAGTCCGCACTGGATGTTACAGAAGCGATGAGAACTGAATTTAAAACGAGTTAAAGTATACCAAAGAATATTCAGTCAGATCAAGGAAAAGGATTCTTTAATTCAACATTTAAAACAATAATACGCATGTTGGGTCAGCCAATAGGTAAGATTCCATTTCTATTACTAAACGTTTCTTTTGGCTACGCGCACAAAAACGAATTCCCTTGTGTCCGCTTACGGTGAACGTTCTAGACTGCTCGCCTCGTGCCAGCGATTCTTGACGACAATATCAACTGCACTCATCATTTTCACCACTATTACCATCTCGCTTACTCACA